TACTACCCTTCACCCAGCAGTGGCTCAGAGACTTACTTCAGGGGAAGAGGCAGTCTATAAGAAGAGAAAATTTCAAAGCTCTCCCTCAACAGAACTGACTCTATTTGAAACACTGAGAAGTTAATCCTAAATATGGAAAACAGTGGACAATAATGCAAAGACAAATAACCCAATTTTAAAATGAGCAAAGGATCTGAATAACCGTTTCTCCAAAAAAGATATATAAATGGCCAATAAGCACATGAAAAATGCTCAGCATCACTTGTCATCAAGAAAATGCAAACCACCATGAGATCACATCCACTAGGATGGCTATAATCAAAAAGGCAGATAATAACGAGTGTTGGTGAGGTTTTGGAGAAATTGGAACCCTCATATATTGCTGATGGAATGTGAAATGGTGCAGCCATTTTGGAAAACAGTCTGGTAATTCCTCAAAAGGTTAAGCATAGAGTTATCATATGACCCAGCAATTCCACTCTTAGGTATGTACCCAAGGGAAATGAAAACATATGTCCACACAAAAACTGGTACATGAACGTTCATAGCAGTATTATCCATAACAGTCAAAAAGTGGAAACTCAAATGTCCATCAAATGATGAATGCATAAATTAAAATATCCATTGCCATAGACAATGTTTATGTCCCCCAAATATTCATGTGTTGAAATCCTAACACCTAATGTGATATTAGGAGGTGGGGCCTTTGGGAGATGATTAAGTCATAATGGTTGAGCCCTCATGAATGGGATTAGTGCCCTTATAAAATAGACCCCAGAAATGTAAACTGGTGCAGCCACTATGGAAAACAGTTTCCTCAAAAAACTAAAAACAGAGCTGCCATATGATCCTGCAATCCCACTCCTGGGCACGTATCTGGAAAAAACTATAATTCAAAAAGATTCCAATGTTCATTGCAGCACAATTTACAAGAGCCAAGATATGGAAATAACCCAAATGTCCACTGACAGATGAATGGATAAAGAAGATATGGTACATATATGTAATGGAATACTACTCAGCCATAAAAAAGAATGAAATAATACCATTTGCAGCAACATGGATGGACCTAAAGATTATCATACTAAGAGAAGTAAGCCAGAAAGACAAATACCATATAATATCACTTATACGTGGAATCTAAAATATGACACAAATGAACTTATCTTCAAAACAGAAACAGACTCACAGACATAGAGAACAGACTTGTGATTGCAAAGAGAGGGAGTGGTAGGGATGGAGTGGGAGCTTGGGATTAGCAGATGCAAACTATTATATATATGTATAACTGAATCACTTTGCTGTACACCAGACACTAACACAACTTTGCTATACAGTAGAAATTAACACATTGTAAATCAACTATACTTCAATCAAATAAATTTTTGAAAAAAGAACACCAAGGGCTTCCCTGGTGGCGCAGTGGTTGAGAGTCCGCCTGCCGATGCAGGGGACGCGGGTTTGTGCCCCGGTGCGGGAAGATCCCACATGCCGTGGAGCGGCTGGGCCCGTGAGCCATGGCCGCTGAGCCTGCGCGTCCGGAGCCTATGCTCTGCGGCGGGAGAGGCCACAACAGTGAGAGGCCCGCGTACCGCAAAAAAAAAAAAAAAAAAAAAAAAAACACCAAAAAAAAAAAAAAACACCAAGAAAATAAGAGAATGCCAAAAAATAAAATTTAACTTAATTTAAATTAAATTAAATTAAATAGACCCCAGAGAGCTCCCTCACCCCTTCTGTCATGTGAGGATACAGCTAGAACACGGTAGTCCAAGAACCAGGAAGTGGGCTCTTACCAGACACCAAATCTACCTGAGCCTTGATTTTAAACTTCCCAGCCTCTAAAATTATGAAAAATAAATTTCTGTTCTTTATTAAGCTGCCCAGTCTATGGTATCCTATTACAGCAGCCCAAATGGAAAAAGACATACATACCATGGAATTTTATCTAGCAATTAAGAGAAATTCAGTACTGATACATGCTACAATATAGCTCAACCTTAAAAACATGCTATGTGAAAGAAACCAGTCACAAAGGGACACATATCATAGGATTCCATTTATATAAAATGACCAGAATAGAATTATATATAGAGAAAGTAGATTAGTGGTTGCCTAGGGCCAGAGGAAGCTTGAGGGGAAACGGAGAGTCACTGTTAACGGGTACAGAGTTTCTCTTGGAAGTGCTAAAAATGTGCTAAAACTGATTGTGATGGTGGTTGCACAACTCTGTAAACATAATAAAAACTATCGAATTGTACACTTTAAATGGGGAAGTGGTATGACATTTGAATTATAGCTCAATAAAGATGTTATTTTAGAAAAGAGCTATTGATACACACAACATGAATGACCCTCAAAATAATTGCACTGAGTAAAGGAAGCCATATATTTTTTAAAGGAAGCCATATTTTTTTAAAGGAAGCCATATTTTAAAAGAGTACATTCTGTATAATCCCATGTATGTAAAATGCTAGAAAATGCAAATGATCTATATTTACAGAAAGCAGGTCAGTGATGGCCTGCTTGGGGGAGGGAGGAATGGATTACCAAGGGGCGTGAGGAAACTTTGCTGATGACAGATAAACTCACAGTCTTGTTTGTGGTGATGGTTTCATGACTGTATACATATGTTAAAATTTATCAAATTATATGATTTAAATGTGTGCAGTTGTATATCACTTATCTTCAGTAAGACTGCAACAAAAGAGCCTGCTAAAAAGCCAACCTTACACATGATCACAAAATCTATTTCTATGTGTAGATATGCAGATATGAAAGACCAGAAAAGTACCTGATAGACATACATAAAACTAATAACACTGGTCACCTTTGGGGAGTAGGGAGGAGGGGACATGAAAACAGAGTGTCACTTTAACACTATATACTTCTGCATTCTTTGTATTTTTTACGAGAATGTTCTATATGTACAATTTATACAAATAAATAAAAAGCTAATAAAGTTACTTTTAATTTTAAAATAGTTAAAAATCCAACAGCAATGACAATACCCAGTTTCAAAATAAAAATTACCCTATTTGATAAAGATGTCTTTAAGCCCGCAGAGGCGTGGAGTCAGAAAACTAGAAGGAACCTCAAGGAGAAACCACCACGATGACTGTTTTGAGGGCTGGGAAGAGGGGTGGGTGGAGGTGAGAGGCACCCGATCACTAACTGACCCGGGGTGACCTGCTTTGCATTGACTGAGGGACAAATGATTCAAGTACAGACAAATCCAGGGCCATGTCTCTGCCTCATTAGGTAACCTGAGCCAGCTGCTTCACTCTAGGGCAGTTTTCCTGTCCATACAGTGAGGGTTGGTCAGGATGGCCTGTGAGGACGCCCCTGCTCTGTTCTTCTGTAATTCTCTTTGTCTCTCCCTCCAGTTCCCTCCCCTGTTACACTCTTTCCAGATTTTGCATTTTCTTAAGATCCCTATGAGAGTTGAGCCAAAACCTCTAACCCTCCTGGAAAGCAACCCTGCCTATCATTTGTTCACTCACTCATTCCTTTCTCTTTAAATGTATTCACCGAGAATTGCTTATGCATTGATTTAATTGTGTATCCATCCATTCATTCATTTATTGATCCTGTAAACATTCTCGGCCTGCGCTGGCTGGGGACTGACCTGTGAGGGTGGATCCCTGCCCCTGAGCCACCTTCTCCAACTTTTCCACACCAATTAAGATTTCTAAGTAGACTCTGTGTAATTGGGTCTTTGGGACATCATCCCTGAAGCACCCCAAAGTTTCTAAGCTGTGCACATTTCCTCTTCTCCCTCTAAATTGCCTTGGGGATGGTGCAGTCCCTTGGTGCAGGGAGCTTTGAAAGGTGCCTGCTTCCCAGGAGGCTGTCAGCTGGCATGGAGCTGGGAGCTGCCCAGGTCGGGCGATCCCTGGCTGCCCATAGTAAACTATCGGGCACCCTGTTCAGCCTTGAGCCCACCAGAATTTCCTAATTCTACCAAACCTGACACATTTTCAAAGAACTTCGCTGAATTCTAAGTACTTTGTCTACTCCCACCAAATTCTAAAAGCTCCACGTTAGTCTATCAAGTTGCAAGCACTTCACTGAATTCTACAAAAGCCTAGGCATGTCTTCTTAGTTTGGAGAGCTGAGTCAGTGTGAAACTCCGGGTCCTGCCCACTGGGGTTCCCTGGATACAGGAGGCTCAGACCTGCTTCTTTGACCAGTTTTCTCCTAGTTCCAGCCAGAGAAGGTTCCTGGTCTCTGCAACTTTTTCCAGGGAACAAGGGACATGGATCTGGAAGAACCTGAAGGTAAGTGAAAAAATGGGGAAATGTGGGCAGAGGAAGGGGCTGGGAGTCAGGAGCCCCAGGGGAATTCCTGGAGCCTTGGCTTCCCCCTCTAACTCACTGTGCAGTGCTGAGCAAGTCTCTTTCCCTCTCTGAGCTTCACTTCCCCCATCTCTAACAAGGTAGTGGCCTTGCTGATCTGCAAGACCCCTCCCAGCTGGGCCATGTGTCATCCAGGCTAGGAACAGCTCGTATCTGGCAGCCAGTTGCTCACTCCCAAGTTGTCTTAGCCCCAGGAAGTGGCAGCAAGGCAGGAAGAAGTTGTCTGTGGCCAGGCTGGGGCCTTCAACTTGGCCTTCAGAATCTGGGTGAAGAGGGTAGGGGGTGGCACCCCTGTGGGCTGGCTGGGGTAGGCAACAGGCAGGAAGCGGGTGAGAGAGGTGAGGGCCATTCTGGAAGTGCAAACACAGGGCCGTGATGCACAAAGGACAGAGGGGTCAGGTGGCTTGGGAGAGGATAAAGGAAGGCTCCCCGGGAGAGGTAGCGTTTGAACTGGTTTTCAGATAGCATTTGGCCAGAAGAGATCTGAAGGCAGGAAGGACACCGTGGGCTCTGCAGACGAAGCTTCCTGGCCCTGCTTTGGGAACTAGAGTCTGTCCCACAGCCTGCAGCCACATCCCTCCTCCTCCCCGCTTCCTGCAACTTCCCCCCACCCCGCACTCCCCCCATCCCCACTGCCCCACCCCGCACCCTGCAAGCTCCAGCCCCAGGAGAGAAGGCACAGCAGGAGCCTCAGATTCTCAGATTTTCAGCACTCAGGGGAAGGCAGACAAGGCACTGAGCAGGTCTGGTGACCATGTCCCTGCTCTGAGCTTTCTTTGTCCTCCTGGTTCATCCCCCGGCAGAGTTTGCTCCCCACCCTCCGGGCTGCTGCTTCTCTAGTGATGCCTCCACAGCCCCTGCCTGGTCTCCACACACCTCTTCCCAGGGGAAGTCGTCCTGCCTGGTCCTCTGAAGCCCTGGCCACAGGTCCGAGGGTCTGCACTAACGGTGTGTGTGTGTGTGTGTGTGTGTGTGTGTGTGTGAGAGAGAGAGAGAGAGCAAGAGTGCCTGCTGCACAGGTACATACACTCGAGCCTGGTGTGGCGTATATACTCACAGGAGAATGTGTGTGCCTGGCTTTCGGGCGGGCGTTTGTACACACAGACAGGTGGGTGCGTTTGTGGTAACCTGCATGGGTGTATATATACTCGGACAGGTAGACAATCACTGCAGATGTTTGCCAGTGACTTTAGGGGATAAATTATGTGGTACATGGAACCGTGCAAAGAGGAGGCTCTGGCCTGCCCCAGCCCTGGCACAGCATCTGCTGCTACCGATCCTCTGTCCAGGGAGGGTGCCTCTCCAGGAAGCCAGCCTCAGAGTTTCCCAGCCGAAACTTGAAGGGAGCTCACAGCTCACGCTCCCCGACCCCATGACGTCTCTAGACACAGTCAAAGTGAGGCAAGACCTCCTATCTGTGGACCTGGGGCAAGGTCGGAGCTCTCCTTGCTGCAGAAAAGGCCCCTCAGCCCCTGAGGTACGGCCCAAAGCTCGGGACCCTGCACTTGTATGTGTGAGAGGAGCGTCCACAGGGGCCCCCGAGCCTGGGCCTCGCTGGGTGGTGGAGGCCCAGGGATACCCGGAGAGACTCCGTATCAGGAAGGATTTTGTGACCCTTTGACTGGCCTGAAGGCACAATGAAAAGAAGAAAAGTTATGTCTAAGGGAGTAATGCGCTTCCTGTCACTAGAGGCGCGCCAACAGAAGCAGGATGAGGCTCGGGTGGGAACTGGAGAGGAGTTCTGCCTGGGGACGTTTGGGATCCAGTGGCCTGGCGGCACACGTGTTCTCATTTGTTCCCCTAATGCCTAGCACAATGCCTGGCATATGGTAGGAACTCAATCACTTCTTGATTCTGAAAAATGGGAGGACTAAGAGAAGGAAATCGTCTGCTGCAAGGGAGGCATTGACAGGAACTGGAGCTTAACCCAGACCCAGGCTTGGGCGGTGCATCCCAGGGTTTAGTGACATAGTGCCAAGTGCCCGAAACACCAAGGAAGGGTTAAGTCATGCTCCTTAGCGGGTGAGAAGATTAGGGGCAGGGTGGGGACTTGGGAGAAAGACGTCCATCCAGTGTGGTAAAAGACCAACCAAGATTTGGGGTTTAACAGAGGCAAACATCTGCTCTGAGCATGGTGCAGCTGCCATGTTGTTGGGAGGATTGGATTCTAGACTCACCTTGCCAGGGATCTGCTGTGTGGCCTCAGTTTCCCTACCTGCACAATGGGAGCTCCAACGAGTTGACCTCTCAGGGCATATTCCACGCTGATGCCTAGGAGTTCATGAAGTCAAAGCAGCCCTGGCTCAGGTTCAGAGAAAATAGGAGGTTTGGGGCAGGGCCAAAAGATCTATCAATTTTTCACTCAAAAACACATGATGGAGGCAGATTCTGAAGGTCAATCCACACACAGTAGCTGATGAGGCAGGCCCTATGGGGGGACAGGTGGACAAGCGCTCTGGTAGGCTCAGAGGCCAGGACCCTCTCCAAGGCGAGGCACAATGTGTGCTTCACGCATGGAGACCAGAGCTGACCTGCAGAGACAAGTCAGATTTCTGCAGGCTGAGGGAGAAAGAAGGGCATCCCCAACAGTGGGAATGGTGTAAAGTAGCTCAGAGGCTTCCTGAAAGCCAGGAGGACCCTCAGAGACCACCTAGCCCAGTGATTCTCAAAGTGTGGTCCCTTGGCCAACAGCAGCAGCATCACTCAGACCTAATGAGTTAGAAACTCTGGGGATAGAGCCCAGAAATCTGTGTTTTAACAAACTTTCCAAGTGATTCTAAGATTTGAGGACCTTTGATCCAGCCCATTGCTTCCCAGACTATGCTGGTAGAATACTTATTTGCAGGAGGTTAATGGGTGCTCTGTAAAAGGAGGATCTATGGTCAAATAAGTTTGGGAATTACATACTCTACACTGCTTTCAGAAAGTCCCAAATCACAGTGGGGCATTAAAGGCTCTGAGAAGTCCTGCAGTATATTATTTACTTTTGATTAACCCCATGTTGTTTCAAATTGATTTTTCAGATTGCCTCCTAACATTTCCATTACGACTCTTAGGGAAATTCTGATCCACATCGATCCTCATTTTTCACATGGATAAATCGCAGCCTAGAAGAATGGGGACTGCCCAAAGTCACAGAGAGAGAGTGTGTCAGAGCTGGAAAAGACCCTAGCAATATACCTCATCCCTAAAGAGACTCTGTGGGCTCCCCGCCACCCTGCACCCTCTTTCCCTGCCTCCCAGCTGTGCCCTCCAGGGCCCTGCAGTATGGAGCTGGTCAACAGGACAGAGGTCTCTGAGTTCTTTCTGAAAGGATTTTCGGGCTACCCAGCCTTGGAGCACCTGCTCTTCCCTCTGTGCTCAGCCACGTACCTGGTGACCCTGCTGGGGAATACAGCCATCGTGGCAGTGAGCGTGCTGGACGTCCACCTGCACACACCCATGTACTTCTTCCTGGGCAACCTCTCCATCCTGGATATCTGCTACAGCCCACCTTTGTGCCCCTGATGCTGGTCCACCTCCTGTCGGCCCAGAAGACCATCTCCTTTCTTGGCTGCGTGATGCAGATGTGTCTGAGCCTGTCCACGGGCTCCACAGGGTGTCTGCTGCTCGCCATCATGGCCTATGATCGCTACCTGGCCAACTGCCGGCCACTCAGGTGCTGATGAGCCACCGGCTCTGCTTGCTGCTGGCGGGAGCCGCCTGGGTACTCTGCTTCTTCAAGTCAGTGACTGAGACAGTCATCGCCATGAGGCTGCCCTTCTGTGGCCACCGTGTGGTCAGTCACTTCACCTGCGAAATCCTGGCAGTGCTGAAGCTGGCGTGCGGTGATACGTCAGTCAACGAGGTCTTCCTGTGGGTGCGTGCCATCCTGCTGCTGCCCGTGCCCCTGGCGTTCATCTGCCTGTCCTGCATGCTTATCCTGGCCACCATCCTGAGGGTGCCCTCGACCGCTGGACGCCACAAAGCCTTCTCCACCTGCTCGGCGCACCTGGGTGTGGTGCTGCTTTTCTATGGCACCGTCATCTTCACGTACATGAAACCCAGGAGCAAGGAGGCCCGCATCTCTGATGAGGCCTCCACGGTCCTCTATGCTGTGGTCACGCCCATGCTGGACCCCGTCATCTACAGCCTGAGGAACGAGGAAGTGACGGAGGTCGCCAGGAAGGTGTGGGACAGGAGATGGACCTCCAGGTGAGGGAGGCCGGGGCTCTGCAGGCTAGCAGGCCAGGCCTTCATTAGCCTACAGTGAGGGCTGCGGGTCTGGAATCTCCAGCCCAGAAACGCAGCACCAAGTCCCACTGATCCTGCCACAGAGGCGCTCACAATCACCCCTCTGCTCCTCCCCCCGGCAGACCCATGGGGCGCTCTCAGCATCACTGCCTGCATCTTTACACCAGCCTCCTGTCTGGCCTTAGGATCTCAGTCTTGTTCCTCCCAGTCTCTCCTCCAAGGGGCATCCAGAGGGATCTTTTTGAAAAGTACATGTGATCCTGTCACTCTCCTGACTGAAGCCCCTGGATGGCTCCCCAGAGCTCTCAGGATGAACTGTGAGGTCTTCAGTGGGGCATTCGAGGACCACACAAGCTGGCCCTGACTAAACCCCCTCCCCATCCTGTGCCCCACAGCCTCCCCCGTCAGCTGCACACGCCAGCCGGCCGTGAGCCTCAGTGTCGCCCAGCACTGCCCAGCTCTGTGCCCTTGCCTGCTCTTTCCACAAGGCAGCCTCCACCCAGCACGCAGTTCCACTCGTAAAAGGACTGCCTGACCCTCAAGGCCCATCTTTTATTTTTTAAATATAGTCCCATGTGATATACAGGAGGTTCTTGTTTTTCTGTTTTATATATAGTAATGTGTATCTGTTAATTCCATGCTCCTAACTTATCCCTGCCCCCATCTCAAGGCCCATCTTGAATGCCACCTCCGCCAGGAAGCCCCTCCCACTCTGCATCTCTCACTGTGCTCTTCCTGCTTTATTTTCAGTGTTACTGTTAAGAGCAGGTAGTATCAGATTCCACTCTGTCCCAAGGTCCAGCCCCGCCCAACCCCAGGCCCTTAAAAATAAATAAATAAATAAATAAATAAATAGACTTCTTAAATAAATAGAAAACACATCGACGTAGGGGTGACAATGGCAGAGCCTGGGGTCCTTCCCAAATCTGAGCAGAGCTGAGATGGAGCTCACAGATCACAGGCATGACCTAGTGCCTTGGGAGGTGACAGTAGAGGCAGTGACGAGCCCTAGCACCCAAGATTTCCAGACCTGCCCAGCCACCGGGATACCAATCACTCCAAGCAGCTTAGGGCCTGGATTCTCCTGTCTCCCTTTTAGCAGCAGTAGCTTCTGGGGCCTCCCTGCCCAGCATCCAGGCCTCACCTGGCCTTGGGGAGACTCTGCTCTACCTGTCTTCAGCCCACCCCCTAGGACCCTGCCATAGCTACCTCTTCCTGGTGCTCAGCCTTTTCCCAGCTTTCCTCTCTGAGAGCTCAGTGAACACACAGAGGAAATGGACTCAGATTCAGAGAACATCTCCATTCCCTGCCCGCTCTGGCCTCAGTGTTACTGTCCATGTGATGGGAGAGCTGAGCTTGGTCGCAAGCAGCGGGCCAGCTCTCCTGCCGCCTGGCTGCAGGTAAGCACATTCCTTGCTTGGGCCCTCAGTTCCCCTCCAGTCCCTCTTCCTATTCCTCGGTTGGTCAGAACAGAGGCACAGAGGAGGGAAGCACAGCCCCGCAGCTCACAGCCTGACCAAGCCAGGGTGACCGCTGCTACTAAGACCTGCTAGGCCTTTGATGCCACGACAGGGGTTAGGACTTTATCCTGTGGGCATCTGGGTTTACAATAATTACTTATAGATACTTTTAGAAAGGTCACTGATTAGATACCTTTCTTCACCCATGAAATTGTCAAAGAATTGTTTTTAATGTCTATTGTTAACTACGGTGCAGTGAAGTAGGTAATGCCATACACTGCTGGTGGGGGTGGGAATAAGTTAATATGACCTTCCTGCCAAGTAAGCGGTGGGTATGAATCAAGAAACTTAAAAACTTCAGACCTTGGGCTTCCCTGGTGGCGAAGTGGTTGAGAGTCCGCCTGCCCATGCAGGGGACACCGGTTCGTGCCCCGGTCCGGGAAGATCCCACAGGCCGCGGAGCGGCTAGGCCCGTGAGCCATGGCCGCTGAGCCTGCGCGTCCGGAGCCTGTGCTCCGCAACGGGAGAGGCCACAACAGTGAGAGGCCTGCGTACCGCAAAAAAAAAAAAACAAAAAAAAAACTTCAGACCTTCTGACGCAACACCTCTACTTCTAGGAATTAGTCTGAGAAAATTATTAGAGATGCAAAGATTTATGTATAAGTATATATATATATATATATATATATACATATATGGATATTAATCAGAGCGTTATTTATGGTAACAAAAAATTGTAAGTATCTTAATGTCCAAGCACAGCAGAATGTTTAAATAAATCCTGGTGGAGCCCAATGATAGACTGTGACACAGCCATTAGAAATCCTATTTTTTGAAGGATATTTGATGATGGGAAATTCTCACACTGTAATTAATAGAAAAAGGCAGAACATATAACTTTGTACTCAGTATAATCCCAATTCTTTAAAGGTATTTTTCTTATGGATATATGAATAAGTATGTATGTAGAAAATTCTGGAAAATTAAGACAAAATGTGAACTAACAGTCGTTTCCTTTGGCTGATGGGATTACAGATAAATATTGTTTCCTTACTTATTCTTTCCAATATTGTCCAATACTTCTAAAATGAACATCACTTTGAACTTAAAAATAATATTATTTTTGAGACATGGAAGATCATGTGGCTCCAGAGGAGAGCACAGACGAGAAGGGCCCTGGGCTGAGGGCAGCAAGTGTGGAAGCTGGTGCCGTAACCCAGGCACCCATGGGGCCTGAGCCAGGTGGGCAGTCAGGCAGAGAGGGCGGGGCTGAGAAACCTTGGGGACATTCAGCTGATCGCAGAGGTGGCTGAGGGAGAGGGGGACTGTGCGCTGGTGCCCGAGCTTCTGGCTTATTTGGGTGGATAGTGCTCCACCCTGAAAGAAACCCTGAGTTATGGGGAAGATGAGAGAATCAGGTTGGAGCGGGTGGGATGGGAGGGTGGTGATGAGCTTGTTTGGATGCATTTGTGGGTAACCATGGGGTGGCAAGACAGCCCTGTTCCTAAGCAGCTGGAAAATAAGTGGGGACAATCTTCCAATATTTATTTTGACCTGTGTCCTTGAAAAAAAAATTCCAAGAGACAAATCATAGTATAATGGGAAAATCTGCAACTGCTGCTGCATTATTTAAGGCTGTTTTTTAGTCCCTAAACTGTGTCAAGTTGTCATTCTTTATTGTGAAGGAAAGAGAAGGACATGGAAAGGGAAATGGAAAAGGGAACCTGCAGAAACTCACGCACCTGGCTCAACCCCTGACTTCATGGTCCCTCACAAGGGCTCGGAGTCTCACCCTGTACAGCAATTCGCTTTCCTTAACCTTTCATGAGTGCAGGTCCCCACAGCTCTCCTGGAAGGAGACACCCCATTTCACAGCCCAGGACGCCGAGGCCAAGGGCAGGGGTCGTAGCACCCCAGCCTCAGGTCCAAGGGGCAGGGCTGCAATGAGACCTTCAGATTCTCTGTCCAGTGTCTCTCCTGTGCCCTCCTCACCCAGCCAGGGCCTCCTGGAGCAGCACAGGGAACCTGGGGTCTCTGAAGCCCCATAGCTGGCAAATGTGCAAACTTGTATAGTTGCAGAGCTTGAACTTTAAATTGGGCAGGGACTGAGAGGTGCCCAAGGGCAAGGAGCACACGACGTGTCTGCATGGCAAGGGACCAGGAGGCTGGGCCTCAGGGCCTCCCCCCGGCCCACCCCAGCACAGTGTGTCTGCTGGTAATGAACTCAGTACTCCCTTGCTCTGCTCTCCCAGGCCTCAGGTCACCTCACCAGGCAGCTGCTTCAGCCACCTGCCTGCACTAATGCCACTGGGCCAATAGGTAGGAGGTAAGGAGAACCCATCTAGCATGTTGACTCTTCTCATGGACTTTTTTTTAAACATGCAAAAAACCAGAATATCTGCTTGGGGAAGGGAACATAATGGTAGTAATAATATCAGCTACCACTGACTGAATACTTACCATGTGCCAAGCTCTGTGCTAAGAGCTTTCACTGGATCCTCAAAATCACCCCATGAGGAAATACTATTCTTATTTCCACAGGTAAGGAAGCTGAGGCTGAGAAAACAATTAGCAAGTGGCAGGTCTGGGACATGGGCCCTGGTTGCTCTGACTCACCTCAAAGCCCACACTCACCTGCTTTGCTAACACAGTGAGGAATGTGAAGCAGGAATCCCAGATCCAGGCATTTCTGGGAAATTGTAACAGGAGCTTCTTCTTGTTATGCCCCTCACCTTCCTTTTAAAATAATATGTAAAGCCTAAAATAAGTATTAAATGGTTCAAACTAGATTTACCAGCCAATGAAAATGACATGATATTTACCATGCAAAGTGACCCTGGGTCTGTCAGACCTCAGGGTTGGAAGTTGCTAGAAAGATGTGAGGGGGGAATGTTTTGAAGGTTGCACAGAGTACCAGAGACAAGCTAACTGAATGGCTCCATTTCACTCAAGGAGAAACTGGACCAAGGTCATATAGCAGAATCGGAACAAAGGCAAGAATCCAATCTGGGCCCCTCACCCCAGTCGAGGGCTCCTTCCATGGCATCTCCCTGCCTCTCAGGAGGGGTAAAACTGGGGAGTGGATTAGACAATGATTCTCAGAGACACTCAATTTCCTATCACTCTGGATATCTGACTTTCCAGGACATGACAGGGTGAGAGGCCTGGCAGACAGATGCTAGAGTGATTTTCTGAGTGTATTGCGAAACACCATCGTACCCAAGCGCTCTGCAACGTTTCTGGTCCTCTTCCAGCTGAGCATGTGGTAGGACTACACAGGCCAGTGCATTGTGGGCATTTGGGATACAAGTCACTTCTGGGTCGGAGCACTTAACTTCTGGTGTGAGATGCTCTGGTGTGTTCTTCCCCAGCCGTAACAACTGGTGATGTCCCAGGTGGTGGAGCCAGGGTCTCTGAGGATGATGACCTGGAACAGAGCCCCCTGAAAACCTGCAATGGACATGTAGCGTGAGAACTAAACCTCTGTCGTGGTAAGCCACTAAAATTATGAGGTTGTATGTTATTGCAGCAAAACCCAGCTCATCTTAACTGATGGAGCAAGGGAACTGCAGCTGCTCCCTCATGTCCCAGCCTGGGCCCACGCTGCAGTCAAAGCTGTTGGTAACCTGGCAGCATGGTATTTTCTAGATACAGCCTTATTTCTTTGAGGTCATAAGCCCATGGCCGAGTGGGCTGTTCCTAACTTCCATGAATGTGTTATGATCAGACTCTTAAACTGTAAGGAACCCCTATCACTCTCCTGATTTAGCTCTCCAGAGAGAGCAGCTATCCCTGCAGGGAGGAGACTGGCCCCACTAAAGCTCTCCTCCCAGCAATCACATGGCTACATCGTTGTTCTGCTGGTGTGTGCTCTGGAGGAAGGCGAGAGAGGGTGATCTCAAGGTAAGAAATCTGGGATCAGGATTTTGGCAGAAGAAAAGTACTGGATCTCAAATGGTACCTCCTGCGTGTAGGCACTGCAGGGTGTTAGGGATGAACTGGACACAGCCCTTTGATTTCCACAGCTCACAGTCTATTGTGTGAGAGAGAATGACACACTAACTGCTAGTGGCTGTGTGAGCGTCATGTTTTCGGGATGGTCAGTTCTGTGGACTGGGAAGGCGGGCCCCGCAGAGGAGGTGCGTGTGAGCTGAGCCTTGGAGGATGAGTGGAAGAGAAAGGCCACTCCGGCTGAGGAAAGTATGAGAAGAGAGACGAGACAGGAGTGTGTGGGATTTGTCCATCAATGGGGAGTGGTCTGAGGCTGAGCAGGGGTGGATGAAGGTACAGGAGTTGAGGTAGGAGGGCAGACCAGAGCCTGGTGACAAAAGCCCTCAGTTGCCTGTGCCATTCCCACTTGATTTTTTTGTTGGAGACAAGGGTGGGGAAGAGAAATGCAGAGTCAGGCTATTTCCCACCTTTTACCTTCCTGAAAACACCCTCCACACCTATGTCCAGTGTCAAAATTTGAGGTTAAAAGGTCTTTTTTGGGCAACACACCCAAAAAAGACCAAGGCCTTATAATTGAATCTGAAATTAAGCTTTGGGCTTAATCCAGCCACTTGAAGTCACAACCCAGGAAAGATGCTTCCTTTTAACTTCTTCTTTCCAGACCTCAGGTTTTACTTTACATCCCAGACTCAAAGAGAATCTCAGAGGTTTCTAAAGCTGAGAGAGGAAGGGATGTGACCAAGGTCACCAGAGAGCAAGGAAATGAGTGTAAACTGTTAGGCCAGAAGCTGCATCTGCCTCTGCTGTATTCCCAGCACCCAGCACATAGCAGGTGCTCAATAACAATTTGATGAATGAGGGAACGAATGAACCATCACAATCAGGCAATTCTTTACCTGTCAAACTTCAGCAAAAAAATCGCTACCTTTAAATGTTTACATGGATAAGATTTACGGTCATTGGCTGACCCAGATTTATCAACTACCCCTGTATGTTCCAGAAACGCCCCTAACAATCGCCTTGATTTAGGCTGGAGGAGGGAAAACCAGCACAGGCTCTGGGGAGAGAGGGGTCATGACAGATGCTGGAGCTCTTGTGCGGGGAGGTGATGAGCACAGATCCAGCAGGTGCCTGCGGCTGAGGACACAGTCTGATCTGGAGTCTTGCTGCTGGGTGGCTCACCAGCACTTTTCTGTGTGTCTCATCTGGCTACACAAAATTCCCGTTTTTCAGAAGGCAACTGAGTCTCAAAGACCAAGCGACTTGGTCAACATCACACAGCTAGTTAGAGCTGGAGCTGGGATGCAACGCTGGGTTTTCAGAATCCTGCGCTGAGTATCTGTTGAGTGACTGTCCTTGGCAGCACTCGCTGTACAAGGTGCCGAGAGGAAGGAGACAGTCCCGCTCTCGAGGGTGGTAGAGGAGACAGGTGCACAACACGAGAGCACAGAGGATGGTCAGGGGCTGTGGGAGCACAAGAAGGGGGCAGGTGACTCTGCAGGGTGCAGGAGGGAGAGGAGGAGAGATGAGCTGGACTCTGAAGGAGCAGGAATGCCCCCACTGGGGAAGAGAGGGAGGACTGCCTATAAAAGGGAACTTCTTGGGCCAAGATGTAGTGCTGGGAAAATACATGGTTTATTCAGGAGAGGGTGAGCCCATTGGCCCCTACAAATGATAGATGCAACTAGGCAGGAGGAATGAGGGGGAAGATCCAGTCCTGGAGGACGGACAGGGTTCCAATGCTGTCACAGGACATAGGCCTCACAGTAAAGCTAGGCGTGAAGGGAGTGAGGGAAGGGGTAGTTATATATCTTCTGAAATGTTAAAGTTCACCCTCAGCTCCTATTTCTCCCTTACACCAGGGATCACTGGGGCTACAAGACAGCTTTCCCATCTAACACTTGACACTTCACTCCCTCGTGACACTGGCATTTCCCAAAGAGGCTGAGACCAGCTCAGAAGAGCAACGGAAGCTACCTGGGCGAAGACCGCAACCTTTCCCACCCTCCCTGTATAAAGCTAGTCAATGACTGATGACGCCTCTACCACATGAGACCTGGTTTCCCTCTTTGTGTGAGATTACTGCTGATATTATTCATCCTAAAAAGCAATATGGAGGCCAAGAAGAGAGTCACTTGGTTTTCAGGACCAGGGTTAAATGCTGTGACCAGTGGCTCTATTGGGATATGTATGTTCTTGTACGTTCTTTTAAAAATCAATGGATGGTCTGTGATTCCTTAAGGAGGAATGGCCAGAATAAGGCTTACACATCCTATGGAGTGGAAATGTTCAATCTTTGTGCCCAAAGGAACGCTAAGTGAGCATCACTCATCACCCACCTCCCTCCCCGAGCTCATCTCTTAAGAAAGAGGGGCAGCACTTGTGACAGGTGCGGCATCTTTTTATCCACTTATTTTTCATACAACTATAGCCCCAGCACCTAAACAATACCTAGCACAGAGGAGGCATTCAACAAATATTCAGTGAGTGAATGAATCTGAAACACTATGGGCATAATTCAGCCGTATGAAGTCATAACCTAGAAATGATGCTTCCTCTTAACAGGCAAGAACGCTTTAGATTCCAAAGGAGCACCTGAAACATGAACCCTACTCTATCATCTCCCCTGAGCCCACCCGGGGGAGAAGACAGATGAGCCTAGGGGATTAGAATGGGTCCCGCCTCCCCTAAGTTACACCAGAACTGCAGAGCTGAGAGGGCCGGCTTGCAGACCTGAAGTCCACTCTCTTATTATACAGATGGTGAGACTAAATTCCAGAGGCAGGGCTGACCCGCTCCAGGTCATACATCCAGGTTGCTTGGCTCCCAGGCCAGCTGGTGCTTTTTCCAACACCCGTGTGGTCCAGATGGGAAAGGAGGGAGAATGAGATGGATGGGGCCAACCAGACGGCCGTGACAGAGTATGTCCTGCTGGGGCTACACGAGCACCACAACCTAGAGATGGTGCTGTTTGTACTCTGCCTGGGCATCTACTCTGTGATAGTGCTGGGGAACGCCCTCCTCATCGGGCTGAACATGCTGGACCCCCGCCTGCAAAGCCCCGTGTACTTCTTCCTCAGCAACCTCTCCCTCATGGATATCTGTGGCACATCCTCCTTTGTGCCTCTCATGCTGGTCAATTCCCTGGAAACCCAAAGCACCATCTCCGTCCCTGGCTGCACCCTGCAGATGTTCCTGACCCTGGCACTGGGCTCCACGGAGTGCCCGATCCTGGCCGTGATGGCGTGTGACCATCACGTGGCCATCTGCCAGCCGCTTCAGTACTCAGGGCTCATGAGCAGGCAGACGTGCGTGTGGATGGCGGCACTGAGCTGGAGGACAGGCTTTGCCAACTCCCTGCTGCAATCCACTCTCACCTGGAGCCTCCCCTTCTGTGGCCACAACGTCATCAACCACTTCTGTGAGATCTTGGCAGTGCTGAAACTAGCCTGTGGGGACATCTCTCTAAACGCGCTGCTAACAATGGTGGCCACTACTGTCGTGACGCTGGCCCCATTGCGGCTCATCTGCCTGTCCTACATTTTCATCCTTGCTGCCATCCTGAGGGTGCCCTCTGCTGCCGGCTGGAAGAAAGCCTTCTCTACCTGCTCTGCCCACCTCACAGTGGTGGTGGTTTTCTATGGGACCACCTCCTTCATGTACTTCAAGCCCAAGGCCAAGGACCCCAACTTGGCTAAGATTATCGCATTGTTCTATGGGGTTGTGACACCCTCGCTGAACCCCATCATCTACAGCCTGAGGAATACAGAGGTGAAAGCTGCCGCCATAGCTCTGCTGAGGGGAGACCTGCTCTCCAGGGAAATGTCCCATTTTTCCTGTTGCTCTCTATCAGGCAGGACAGGCTAGGGTACACTCTGGTCATGATTTCAAAATTTCAGTGGCTTAAAACCACAAAGGTTTTTTCTCACTTACGCTGCAGGTCCATCAGAGGTTGGCTGGGGGATGTGCTCTGCACCATCGCCTTCATCCCTCTGGGACTCAGGATGATAAAGCAGCCACCATCTGGCACATTGCTGGTCCAAGTGGCAAAAGGCAAAGAGAAAATGACAAAGCCTGCACTGATTCTTAAAGCTTCCGCTCAGAAGTGACCTGTTACTTCCACTTCCACCTCACTGGCCAAGGCAAGGCGCACACCAGGGCTGACACCGAGGGGGAGGGAACACCCACCTACCACGCATCTGGAAGGAGGGGGAGGACTGAAGAATTTGTGAAGAGCCTAGTGACAACCACCCACCCTACAGTCAACCCAGGGGCTACTGGAGATTTCTAGAGCTTCCTTTTCTTGGACCAACTGTCCTTCACCGGCTGCTGCCAGGTTCATCATCCCAGGAGAGTGCTGGTTAGCTCTCTTGTGGTGGCTTTGGACTGGGTCGAGCTAACTAGGGTGGAACCGGGCCTCCCCGAGTTTCCTTCCCTGTAAGGTTCTGGGATCGGGTGGACCACGAGAGAAATCCGCATGAGATGGGAGGCGAAGGCGAAGCAGCACCGTCGTGGTGGGAGCCCTCACTTGCTGTCAGCACAGCTGCTCCAGCTCCTGCCACGCCGCCTGCAGCTGCTCGGAGGCCCGTGCCAAGTGTAGCGCCACGCCAGAGAGTGCCAGCTCCTCTTGCAGGTCACCAGTGTCACTGAGCCTGAAGGCAGCGAGGCCCAGACACGGGCTCCGGTCTGTCCTCACCTCCCCCTTCACGCCCCCCGAGAGCAGCTTCAGGCCCGACACCAGGTGCAGAGGCCCAGCTTTGCACAGGCTTCTCCAACTGCTCCCACAATCGACAGCTCTGTTCTCTACAACAGACCCTTTATATCACTCACGCTTGCCCTACTTTGGCCAGACCCTGGCTGATGCCTCACTCAAGAGCCTACGATGGCTCCCCTTAACCACAGAATGAAGCCCTAACTCTTCGGTTGAGTTCAAGCCCTCCAGAACCCAGCCCCCCACTTCTCCAGCCCGATGTTCCACTAACCCCCTTCACACGGTGACCCCCTCGCTACAGTGTCTGTACTGCCTGCACCTTGGTGTCTCGCTCATGCTGACCTCTGGCGAGACCTGGGACTATTTTTCCAAGCCACCTTAGACACCAGCTCTCTCACACAGCCTTTCCTGGTGCACTTTGAATAGTCTCTCTTTCCTTTACGTCCCACAGCACTTTGTTGGTATCTTTCACTCGGTATCCATCCCATTCTGCTTTGCATCCATGGTATTTCACCACCACGTGGGCTCCTTGATGGCGGGATTCAACCAGGTCTGGCTTGTCTCTGCAGCTCCCACAGAGCTTTCCCGATAGAGGGTTACTGAACTGAACTGTCCCTCAGAAGCCCTCACAATGTCACATCTGGGGATTGGATCCTGTGCTGCTGGGTGTGCCCCAGGCAGTTGTGGACAGTCCGGGGTCTTAGTCCAAATGTGTGGACAGACATGAGCAGAGAGCAGCAGTATCTGGTGGTCACGGCCATGTATTCCAGGAAGTCACTTGAACAAGTCAGGAGACAACAAAGGACCCCTGCTTTGGGACCCAGGAGGCCAAGGTTCCAGACCTGGTTCAGCTGCTCTGCCTGTCACGGTCTTCTTGCTGGCCCTCTCCCTCCAGGAATCCCACAGGCACCTCAAACTCAAACTATCCACAACTGAACTCATCATTCTGCCCCACAAAGGTGTGTCATCATCTCAGGGAATGGCACCAACACCCGCCCCAAGTCAGCAAGCCAGAAACGTGGCAGTCACCACAGGCTTTCTTTCATCCCTCACCACCCCACACATCCAAGCAGTCACCATGTCCTAGAGAATCCACCTCGTAACAGCTCTCGGATCAGTCCCCTCCTTCCCACTGACACCGCCTTCACCATCTCTCTCTCAAATAGTGCAACATCGGTTTTGCTGCACTTTCAGCCTCCAAATCCTCTCCAAAATCCATCCTCTGCACCAGCCGTCAAAACACCTATCTGAAAAGACAACGCAAACAAAACAAAACAATCTGATCCGCTACTCTCCTGCTTAAATCCCTCCAATGAGGCCATTGCTCATTTCCCTAGGATAAAAGCCAGACCCCATGTACCTGCCCAGCCTCATCACTGGCTGCTTGCCTCCGCCCTAACTCCACACACACACACCCTGCAGGTCCAGAGGCCCTGAACTAGTCCCAGTTCCCCAGTAAAGATCAGTCTTTCCTGCTCCTGTGTCTCCCCCTTGCTGTTGCCTCCCATGTCCAAACACCTGACCTTTAGCTAACATACATTGGAGACTTACCACATAGCAGGCTAGGCACTATACTAAGTGTTCTAAGTGCTTTCCTGCTTGGGGACCAGATGGGATGATGGAAATTTCAGGGGAGGAATGTGATATGGACACTGGTGACCAGAGTGAACACTCTCCCAACATCCTGGCATTATGGAAACTCATTCAATCCTCACTCAATGCCCTCCACTCCATCCGGCTTCCAGAAAACCCCTTCTAATCCCTCCTAGCTGGGTGGGGTCTGTCTCAGCTCTGTCTCCCTCTTCAGTGCCTTCTGTACTCTACTGTGTCCTGAATCCCAGCTATTTGGGCTCATGTGTCCTAGTGATCTGTGTGGCATAATATTTCTGATACAGGAACAGACACCTAGCCCACACCTCTCCTTCCTTCTCACCATTCAATTGGTGAATGTGATGTGAGATGTGACCTTCTCACATCACTCTGCTCAGTGCCCGAAGGAAGAGATGTGATTGCAAAAAGCAGAGAACAAAGAGATGTTTTCCTGGCATCTGAGTTTCAAAAGCCTAGGCTCTAAAGGGAACATAAAAGACTTAAGGCATAAACAAAAGATTTGGGAGAAAAATGTAAGGAAAAATAGGTGTCCCCACCTCCAGATTAATAAAAGATTCCCTAAGTTAGGGAGAGGAAAAAGCAAGGAGGAGGGGATGTAGTGAGAGCATTGGCATAGGAGGGCCCCAAAAGGGAGGGGCCCTGAGCCCCACTCCCCAGACCAAGCCCCTGGACAGGTTTGCAGGTGTGAAAGCTGGAGCAACTCATGCATTGTTGGTCAAGTAAAATGCAGAGCAGGACCCCAGGGTAGAAATGGCTTCAAGGTGTTTCTGGGTAGCCAAGGTCTCACAAGTCTTTGCATGTGGCACAGAAGTGGTGTAGAGCCTCAGGACTGAAAGGGTTACACAGATGGGGACAAGAAACCACTCTGGGAAGGCCTGCTTGTACCGCTACCTGGGGACCAGGTGGGATGATGGAAATCTCAGGGGCGCCACATGGACCCTGGTGACCAGGGAAAACACCCTTGCAGTATCTCGGCATTATATAAGACCCTCGGGACTCAGCTGTGACCTTTGTGGAAAGAGAAGAAAATCCCCAAATGACAAAAGATTATGTTTCTGGCACTCGGGCAAAATGGAGACTCAAAACAGAAGTTACATTCTTGTGATATTTCTTGCACATCTGAGATTTGTTCCTGCTAGTCCAATTTCCTGAGCCCTTAGCCTCCTTCCCTATTGGGTGTGGGCACCACAAGGGAGGTCTCACTGACTGAAATCATCTCAGCAAGTACACACACACACACTCACACAACTCCCTACTCCCGGCTGCTGCAGCCTGACACAATGGGGCAAAAGCCTCAGACAGTAGCTCCAGCAGCTCATGCCAGCTAGGCTCCGTCACCCCTGTTGATTGTCTCAGGGTCCCTCTTTCCCTCCCCTCCCCACACCGTTTCCCTCAGGAAAAAAAAAAGGCAGCACAGAACCAGCAAATACTTCATTGGAGACACACCAGACTCCACCTGCATCAACTCAGGATACCAGCCACCGCAGCCCCAGTCCCAGCCCCATCTGTCCTGCATCCCCCTCCCAGCACAGCCCAGCCCAGATCCTGCCTCTGGGAAGGAAGCCCGAGCCCAGAGTTGCTGAGCTGCTGGGAAGATCTGGAGACTCAGCTTCCCCAGGGTGGACTCCGTTTCCTTAGGAACGACACCATGTCCTGAGAGGGCCTGGTCTCCCAGGGAAGGAATCCATGTCCTCAGGAGGGTTCCATACCCTGGGAAGGGCTCCACACCCCTGGGAGGGGCTCCTTGGTCCTGAGGGGGCTCTATGGCCCTGCACGAGCTCCAGTCCTGAAGATGCAGGAGGACTCCAGGCCCTCGGGAAGTGTGCCAGGCCCCTGAAAGAGTTCCGTGTCCTTAAGAAAGACTCCATGTCCTCAAGAAATACAACTTGTCTCTTATCCCTGGGAGGACTCCATGCTCCCAGGAAGAACCCAAGGAAGGGCTCTCTGCCCCAGGGAAGAGTTCACGTTCCCCAAGGGCAGCCCAAAGCCCCTCTCAGCTGGCACAGATGCTGCTGACAGTGGCCCCTCCCGGGCCCACAAGGCCCAGCTCCTCCTGCTCATTGATGCACAGCTGGTAACCGCAGCCCCGGGCCCGGGCTCCAGATGGGACCTGGTGGTCAGTCTTGGCACGAGGGGGCAGCAAGAAGCCCACACTGCCAGCGATGAGCATATGCCAAATGCTGTGAATGTAGAAGTAGTTGTCTCGAGTCTCCACAAAAGCATAGAGCAGGATGGCACTGCCCGCGATAAGGCTGCCTGGGCACAGGTAGAAAAGCCAGCGGCGCCACGTGGGCGGGTAGCAGTGCCGGCGGCGGACGCTGCGTACTGTCTGGGGGAGGCAGAGAAGTGGGGCTCAGGAACGCGAGGCCTTGGAACCCAAGCCACTGCTGGTCACTCTCAGGCTTCCCCTGAGCCCTGGTGGTGACCTGAAGGCATCTGCCAAGACTGGAGTGCAGCGCTGTGAGCAGCACAGTGATGACGACAGGGTCCCAACCCACCTTAAACTGGGAACCAGATACCCAAGCCCCTGCACCCAAGTCCTGCTGGGACCTCCCCGCCCCCAGCCCTCCCAACCTTACCCAGGCTGTGGCCAAGATCCCCAGGGCAAAGAGACTGGGTCCAAGCAGGTTCCAGAGTCCATGCCGGTCAAGCTGCAGAGCCATGGACAGCAGCATAGCCCCCAGCAAGTACAGCACCTAGAGAAAGAGGTCTCCAGGGGCTGGGCCGGGATGGAGAGGCACTTGGCAATGCCCCCAGGAGAGATCGGGAAGTGGATTTCAAGTAGACTGTGGCTATGGTTGTCCCCCAGGGCCCACTCTGCACTGACCTGCTTGACCACAGGCTGTAAGCGAGCCATGGCAATGACAGTGACCCACACGGACATTAAAGAGCCCAGGAAGTCACAGAACTGCAGCACGTCGTAGTCCATGATGCAGAAAACCACAATGCCTGGCTGGTCACAGGCATGGTAGAACTGGAGAAAGAGAGGACAGGCATTGAGAGAACTTGCGGCAAAGGTCCAGGTCTACAAAACTGGAGAAAGAGGCCATAGGGGTGGCGTGCTGCTGTCAGAAAAGCGGAAGTCAGAGGGCACAGACTGAGCAGAACTGGGAAATGCCCAACTCCCCACCCCTGAGAAGAATGTGGTAGGGAGGCCCGGTCTGTGTCTTAGGCTGTACGTATCTGGCAGCCCTGAGCCTCGTCCTCACCTTCCTAATCTTCCTGCTTCTGGAATGTGCTGTGAGAGCACCAAGCCAAGGGATCCAGGTCTCTCAAGCTGAGGCCAATCCTTGCCTGTATCCCCTTGTGCTCATGTGGGTCCCACCTGTAATCCTGGCCCAAGCTCTGAGGCTGGAATCTGGCCTCTTGGCCAATCCAGACCCCAAGCCCTGTCTGTTAGCTCAGACTCTGAGTCATGCTTCACCTTCAGACCTTGCACTAATTGGTCCTCTGCATCCTCTCCCACCCAATGCCATGGGGGAAGCGGGGGGGACGGTGAGAAAAAAGGCAGAGTCCCTAAAGCCAGGGAAAAGAGCATGGCACTTTACACCACGGGAAGAACACAGGAAAGGGACAGTGCTCACCTACCCTACACCGTGGGGAACACAGCAAAGAATAGGGTATTGAGCTTAAAGGTGGGGTGCAGGGGACACAGTGGAACTGGAACAAGCTATACTGGGCACCCCAATTAAGGAACCAAGCTCTGCCATCAGCCCTTGGGTCTGTGGTCGCAATCCCTGTGCCCCGCTGGATAATGCTGTCAGGACCTCTGGCAGCCTGCATTCCCTTATTGTGAAAACAGTGACCCAGGGATAACCTGAGTTCAAGTTTATTTTGTCTTGGAACATTTGCTGTCACCTTTCTTTGAACTTCTGTGTAGAATTTAGGTAATTTGAGTACTTACTGATGCTAAACACTAAGGCCATGGATGGTTTCAAGAATATCTGGTGCAGAGATGCAGGAACACGCTTCCTTCTATATCATGTGCCTTACGAGTCCACCCAAAGAAAATAGACTGGGCAAGGTCTCTGAAGACAAACAGCTCTGACCGAGAACAACCATCACAGTGGCATGCTCACTTCTCCCATCTCCCAGTATCGCCCCTGCTCCGTGTCAGGAAGAATGGGTTATTATGGTAATGAAGGCAGGGTTAAGAAAAATTACGAAGCTATAATGGGAAAGAAAAAGGTTTTGACCTATGTAAACTTGACCAAAATCTACTCATTGGAGCTGAGTTCGAGACACGCCAGCAGATTTTAGGGGATCAAAAAAGTCTCTTAAGATTCTGTGAATCAATCTGTTTGACCTCTGTCCCCTGTACTTTACCCCAGGTCCTCAGAGAGCCATGGCTACTGAGAGCACCTCTTGAGAGGAGAAACAACTCAGTGTAGTTGCCAGGATTGGGCTGAAATGCATCAGGCTGAACCGAAGCTGGGGCAGGAAGGCTGTGCTATACCATCCAAAGGCAGCCTTTGAAGTGGCTGGATCACTGACTGGAGGGATCCTTTAGGCACTACTTTCAGCCCACATCAGTTTCTTCATCATTCCATCAAAAGGCAACCCTAAGTCACAAGGGCTCTGAGCCCAAAAGAGAGACAGCCTTACAGACCTTAGTGAGACAGGTATCCAGGCCTCCAGAGGCACGGCTCTGGGTGTGGGTAGGGAGAGGGCAGGGATATCCAGCCCACAGCTGAGGAGATAGATAGCAGAGCAATATCACAGTTTCACTCACTGGCAGCAGTGGGGTCTCAGCAACTTCTGGGGAAAATGAAAATGGGAGAACCTAGTCTCCTGTTTGAATGAGTCAGAGCTGAGAACGAGAAGGTGGAGGCGAGGTCAGGAAGAAGAGTTCAGGGAAAAGGAGCACTATATCCCGAACTCATAGCACAAACCATGACACCCCAACCTCACTGAAACAGCAGCGACCTTAGGGAAAGCAGGTGGGAAACTGAAGCAGGTCTGCTGTGAAAGCTGACAGAAGCCAGCCCAGATGCAGAGCTGCCACCAACAGGATGGGAAAACAGACTCAAAAGTTTAGTCTTGAGAGACAAAGGATGAGAAAGAAATTGCTAATGTTTCTTTTGAACCTGTTGAAGATTTCATCCAGTCATTCAAATTGCAAAATGTGTAACTTCAACCAGCAGAGGGGAAAGGGTGAATAACATAAGGGCAGGGACAAGCTGGGAGTTTAGAAAAAGAAAAATAAATGAAAAAGAAAACTCAGGGATATTAATTGACATTGGGAAACCTTGGGTTCGATTCCTTCGCATTTTAAACTGCCAAGTCTTAAACTTGTGTACCTATCCTCTTTCTTTCCCTTCACTTTGGAGGTAAAGAATGTTGTCCCTTCAGGAAGAGACTGCTCTGGAATTATCATGTTTTTTTGGTTTTTTGTTTTGTTTTGTTTTGTTTGCGGTACGCGGGCCTCTCCCTGTTGTGGCCTCTCCCGTTGCAGAGCACAGGCTCCGGACGCGCAGGCTCAGTGGCCGTGGCTCACAGGCCCAGCCGCTCCACAGCATGTGGGATCTTCCCGGACCGGGGCACGAACCCGCGTCCCCTGCATCAGCAGGCGCACTCTCAACCACTGCGCCACCAGGGAAGCCCTATCATGTTTTAAGTGAGTATCCCAGGCTTTTCAGAGGGTTCATAAGTTTGGGGACATAAATCCCTCTTTTATATTATTAAATAGAGAAAATGAGTTCTTACTGGGAAACTTGGAGAGACTTTTCATGTGGGTCCATTTAATGTTTGAATATGCCTCAAAGGTTTATTTTTTAATTCTTTCTCTTACATGTGATTAATTGGGAACTAATTTGGTTCCTAAACAAATCAATATTTTGGCCTTTTTCTATTTCTCTACCTCCAAGACTGGATATACATACTACTGCTCACTAAATTACCCAATACTGTTTTATGATTTGGATTTTATTTTAAAGCATTAATTTTACCTTTCACACTTCACCAAGCACTTGTTTCATATGCCTGACTTTCAGGTATATAGAAGGAAATGCCCAAACACTTCTGGAAGAGGGACTTGTAATAAATCTTTCAATCTCAGATAAGAGAGGATAAATACCAGCAGGAAAAAGGCAAAGCTGAATCACCTAACATTGAAGACACATCTAAGAAAATAATTAATTGAAGGTTTATTTCCTCCTAGGAATTTCTACATTGTTAAAAAGAGTGGGGAATAATGGAGAGATCGTCTCTGGAGTGGAGAGGTTTTGGGGGATATCATCTCTCTAATCTTCTATGACTGATTATTCTACAAGTATACTAGAAGGTCAAAGAGATTAAGGTTGTAGAAAACCCTTAGGGGTAGAGTTAAATTAAAACTGCAGTGTGGGGACTTTCCTGGTGGTCCAGTGGGTAAGACTCCGTGCTCCCAATGCAGGGGACCTGGGTTCCATCCCTGGTCAGGCAATTAGATCCCACATACATGCCGCAACTAAGAAGTCCGCACGCTGCAACAAAGATCCCACGTGCCACAACTAAGGCCCGGTGCAGCCAAAATAAATCAATAAATATTAAAAAAATAAAAATAAATAAAACTGCAGTGTGAGGTGACCAACACGATCTACATTTCACCAATCCTATCTGGCTACTGTCACTGCTGAATGTCCAAAAATGCCATCAGTAAAGTCCATCATCGACTCCCTCCCGGGGCACACTGTGCTAGGGAAACCCGCCAACAACCTGTGGCAGCTTGCTTCATTGAAACTCCTCAACCCGGAGGAGACAGCATCTTGTCATCATATATTCTAGGCATATGTTTGTCTCTTCTGCCTGCAGTGCTTCAGCCTGCTTTACTATTCATGGAGCAGGAGCCATTATCGATTGCCATGGCACCCATTCAGCACCATCCTTAACCAGGACGCACAATTTATAGTAAATGAGGCAAAGCAAATTGCTCACCACCATATATTTCACTGGTGTAACCATTTACCCATCACCTAGAAGCAACTGGCTAACCGAAAGCTGGAGTGGGCTACTGAAGGCTGAGTTATAGTGGCACCTGGGAAACTCTACCCTGAAAGTCTGGAATACTCTCCTATATGTTTGGCACACAGTATGTGCCCAGTAAATTTTAGTCACCTTACAGTCATCTTATACTTTATGCCATGTATATTCATGGGAGAATATCCCCACACTAATAAACTTTCCCTTATGCAAAAAAAAAAAAAATATATATATATATATTGCACTATTGTCTCACTGAAAATTGTGGACTAATTTTTACATTAGTATTCCTTTTGTCATCAGCAATAAAAAGAAGTGGTAGAAATAACACAAAAAGATTGGGAGATTTAAGAAAAGAAATTCAGACTACTAACTAGTTTCTATTAGTATAATCTAATTTGACACCTTCCTCAGCTTTGGACATTTCTTTACTTACAAGGTAATTTTGGAAAATTATACTAAGTTGTTTTTCTCTGTGGAATTTTATACTTTTATAACATAACTATACAGTTTGTCTAACGCTCCAAAACAGAGTATCCTGGCACTAGAGAATTTAAAATTGAAGATGCAAATATATTCAATCCATACAAAGATTAGGATATTTGTACTCGGGACAGAATGAAACTTCCTGCTGTTCTCTTATTTTCTGCTTCCGTTTCCTCTTGGAAACAGTCATGGGATTTTGCCAAGGGCCACTGAGAATTACTTGTGCTGGTGTGAGGAACAGAAGAGGTAATGAGGAGGTGGGCTTGCAGCCAGGATCTCAGCAATCGACAAGGAAGGCTGCAGGGGCCCCAGGATGTCAGCTCTGTCTGGGTCTTTGGGGATCCAATTATGAGGACTCCTCTAGCACTGTGAAGGACATGTGGCTTGAACTGTATGAGTCAGAGGTGCACAACCGCAATGTCTGATATACTTTCCCTGTGATTTCCTGTATTTGGTTTGGTTATATTTCCTGACCTTTTGATTGGCTCTTTTTATCTTTTAAGAATTTGAGAACTACTAAAGTGAGGTCGTTAGTATTTCCACGTACTCCAGGACTTCTGAGAAACTGAAGTCAGGTTAGAAATGTATCCATGCACGCTCACTGCCCTATGCAAGGGGAACACTACAGCTCAGTGATTACATGAGAGGGATCTGGAGGCAGGCTGAGTGCGAAGTTTGGTTCTACCACTCACCTCAGGCCTTAGGCAAAGTATGTAAACTTTTCTCATCTGCAAAAAAGGGATAATAATAATAGCAATACCTATTATTACAGTGCTATGGGGAGGATTCGATGAGCACTGTCTGACACACAGCATGTATTCAGTAGATGTTGTTTTTCTGTTATAGTTATCTGAACTGTCGGCTACATACAAAATCAAGTGCTGGGTTTGTGGCTTGTTTTGTTTTGCTTTTTCTACTTATTTACATTTTGCATTTTAAACTCCTGAAGAACAAAGCTACTGTCTGCTCCCAGGCCCTGGGTAGGAACTGACACACTACTCCCAGGTGTAGACTGTCCTGGATTTGAAGACAAGGAAGAAGACTGTCGCCTACCATGCTGGTGCTGATACCTGCAATATGAAAGATGGGTCCTTAAATGGAGACTGCTGAGGAATGAAATAAGTCTAAACAAAATAAAGAACAGGAAAGAGTGACAACAGGAAACCTGCCTGTGAAAAATGAATCACAAGTAGCTCTACACTTTGGCACGTGTGGAAAAAGAACAGGAGTTAGAGCACGACTTTAGGCAACACCTCAGAGCCAGTATCTTTTCCTTGATCATTTGCTTACTGCCTTATTTAAGAAAGTGGAAGCACTGTATGTGGTGCCAGGCACTTTCGACTCCCCCAGTGTTCCTACTAGGGGAAGGTCTTGTCTTTTCAGGATGAAATGCCATCAAATCCAGAAGATAAGAAGTCATCTGACACTGAATACCCTGAAGCCAATGCCCAGGATGCTTTGTGAAGTGCAGGAGAATGGATACGCTCTCCTCACACGCTCCAGGCTCCTGACACACTTAGGTGTTCTTACTAATTGTGAACCACATTAGATCTGCACATAACCAAGAGTGCGCTGGTGAAAGAGCTGTTGCTAGGGAATTTGGTGAGCAACAATATAAAAAGGATCTTGAAACTAAAAAAAAGAGAGCGAGAGAAACAATGTTGAATATAAAAACAGAGTGGGGCATTGTCAGAGCAGGTCTAAAAAGGGGACCAGTCAAACAAAACTGAGGTGTGCTGTTCTCATGCAGCTTAAGTGGCCAAGGTCCTGCTACATGGCTCGGTTACAGCCCACTGTTCCTCACCTGTGGAGAAATAACCAGGGCCCTAGAACATGACTCAGTTTCAGGACATTTGCCCCTCACTTTCTCCTAGATGATAAGTAGGATTTTTGTAATTTGGATATATGTCTGATCTATTAATACTGGACAACAGAGAGGCATGTATTGGTTTTTGTGATATCTTTGTTGCTAAGACATGTGGAAAAGTCTGAATCCATCTAAGATGTTTGCAGTGCTCATAGGCAGGCACTGTACATCACAAGATACCAAGAGCCCAGGGATGAGATGAAAAGATCCCTAGATGTAGCATCTCAGGGGATTTGTGTAGACACAATTCCAAATTGTAGGTCAGAGTTTCTCAGCCAGTGTGTTGAGGTAAAGGTCCCCTCAGCCCTTAGAGTGGACAGGCAGGGTGCGGGTCGCTGGAGACCCCACACTGTCTCCAGTGACTGTTATCTTAAGTCGCAAACAGCCTTGCTCATATATCCCAATGTGCCTTATAAAAATTATCACGTTCGCATGCCATGATACGAAGCGGTCAGGAAGCACTGCTGTACAGTGAAGAGGAGACATTCTCATACCATGAAGGTGTAGACATCCCCAAACCCCGTGGTGGAAATGTACACTCTAACCCACCACCACGGATAAGGACTCGGTGAAAGACACAGACGCCACCGCATACCGTGGAGAAGAACATGGTGAAGGTGTAGACAGCCGCTTCCAGCACATATCGGCTCCGAATGGCCAGGACCACGGGGGGCAAAAACATGAGGTTGCTCAGGCAGAGCAGTAACGTGGACAGAAGCTGGAATCCGTAGGTGAGCGCATCCGCACTGTCGGTGCAGCCCCATCCCCGCCATCCTGCGGATGGGAGGGGCACAGGGTGGAAGAGGTGAGAAGGCAGCCCGCGCTTCAGCAGATACTTCCGCTGGTGGTCTCTGCTCAAGCCCGACGCCAAGGCCAGAGGAGGCTGGTCCCACCCTGACCCCGCCCCCCCTCAAACCCGGCTACTGAGGGTGCCGCCTCCCTTCCGACCGCCCCGGGTGGGGTCCCTCGCCAGCCCAGCCGGCTCACCGGCCTTGCACTCGCAGGCCGCGTACAGGTAGTTATGCGTGCGCAGCAGCTTGCACTGGCCGTAGGGCCCGCAGTCGTCCACGCACGGGGACAGGAAAGTGCGCAACCGCACCTCGGCCGTCGCGTTCCGGCACCTCACGAACCTGCGCACAAACTGCCAATCAACCGGGCCCGGGCGCAGCCGCGCCCCGCCCCGCCCCGCCGCGCCCCGCCCCGCTCACCGAGGCCCCACCCCACAGAGGGAGCGCAGGGTCAGGAACCAGGTCCCCGTCTGCGGGAACGGGATTCGCAGCCTGGCCACTCGGGAGGTGGCACTGACCGTGAGGAGGAAGCCGGCCAGGGACTCTGAGGGGAGAAGGGAGGAGTCAGTGTGGGGTCAGGACCTAAAGAACCCTCACCCGCCTGCCCCCAGTTCCCAGACGCCCTAGCCCATCCTTCCTCCATACCCACCCCCCTGCCCCCGACTTCCAGCCCCCACTCCTTCCCCGGTTCCTCACTCCACCTTTGGAACAAGTCATTGCTGCATCCCCCAGGCTCAAGGGCACCTCGTGAGTCAGGCATCCGAACACTGTCACATTTTCCTGGCGCAGGGAGCTCTGGGCAGGGCGGGTATAAAGATGAGGCGGCCACACCCTCTAAGTCCTCCCACCAGCACCCCCGCCAGACTCCTCCACCTCTTAACCCCTCCCCAGAAACCCCTCCAGGCCCTCACTGGACATCCCATTCCTGCAGGTGCTCTCCACACGGAAGCACCCTCCCCACCCCTCACCTCCTCGTTCTTACAACAAAAAAACGGAAACACCAGATCTTCCACAGCAGAGATCTTTCAAAGACTGATGAGAAGGCAAGGCCACTTCTGAGTCCTTTCTTTGGGAAGAATTGTTTAAATTCTGTCTAGGCAAGAGACAACACCCACTTTTTCAGTCCTATCTAGCTTGATGGGGGGAAGGGGAAGAGCACTGTTGCTGGATGTAGACACTAGTTGTAAACAAAGGTGATTGTAAGGTTTGTCAGTCATCTTCACATCTTCACCTTGGCCTTGAAGGTGGGAGGCATGTAAAGAAATGCACTCTTCCTCAGGTGAAATAATTCTAGGTACTGAGCAGTGGTAATAGAACGCCTATGGGATTAAATGTAGCAAGCTGGCTGGGATTAAAAGAAACTGGATATCCATAGGAGTAAAGGGAAAGGGTTGTCTACAAGAATAAAGGTAACAGGATGCCATAAGCTCACCTCATTCAAGAAGGATTTGAGGCAGCTTATTAAATACATATAACAGGATAAAATAAATACATGAGGGAAATTTACAAATCTGTCCCTAGATGTGGGCCATATATTTGCTGACTTCCAAGCAACCAAAGCAAGGAAGGAAACGTGAGTTACCACATTTGTGAGTCCACAAGATAAAAGTTAGAGTCTCAGGAGAAGCACTGCACCCAAAAGGGTGGTTCTCAGTTAAATTCACATCAAAGAAGCACTGTGTGCTGCCCCACCTCCTATCCTTAGCTGCAAGAGTGAATTTCATACAACTTGTTCATAACTTCCCTCAATGCAAGCCCAGGGCTATATGCCAAAGTATTTTTCAGCAAAAGCCATTCTGGTGGGAGCCAAAGAAAAAATGTTTTCTAGGTATGCAGTTCTCTGAGCCAAGTGTCCAGTTTTGACCCAAGGGAAAACATCAAAATACTTGAGGAAAAGATCAGAGTAGGTGTGCCAATATACCTTTCAGAATAAATAGAACAGGCTGTCTGAGGTGTGCAGCAGTGTCATAGCATGCAGATGGCTGGAATGTAAGCAGATGCCTTTTAGAGAAAATAGACAAGAATGCAGAGAAAGACAGGGCAAAGCAGCAGGGGAGGTGGGCCTCTCCTCTCAGGATCCTAAGGAAGAGTCAGTATGGGTGGGACTGGTCTCTGACATAGGCTCTATAGTTTCAAGGTCAAATCAAGACTTCACTGTCATTGCCCAAAGGCATGGCGATAAGCAAACACAAAACATATACAGTCTTAGCCAGAACACAGAGAATTTGAGTATGAAAATAAGGAACATCTTGGGGTTGAAGAGTCAGCTCTGTCCTGACCAGGAGGATCACTAGAAAGTTCTGCGCCATGTCCCATAAAATACCACCTCAAGACAGACCAGGTCTCAGGTGGGTGATAGGAAAATGATCCCTGCCCCAGAGCTGAGGGATAGTAAAGTTAAAAGGATTTTTGGCTGAGGGAACAGTAGATAAATAATTAGATCAACGCCAACCCAAGACAGTTGCCAATGGCCTGACACAGGGTTCTGCCCTCGGCCCAGTCTTGTTCAGTGCTGAAAATAATGACTAAGAGGTTTAGAAGGCCAGCTTTTCAAGTGTGTGAATTACACAAAGCAGTGAAGATGCAAGGTCCAAACCAGTGTTAGGCAATGTCTCAAAGATAGACATAAATTCTTCCATTCAGGTTAAAAAGTGTGCTGCAAAAATATGAGATAGGTATTGGCAGCGGTTCACATGAACCAAGCTCAGGGCATGAAAATGTGCATGGTCCTTGGTTACAACTAGATAAACACATCAGTTAATGTGGATAAGGACTAGGAGGACATATACCAAAAAGCTAAGCAGTTGTGTTATGGAGGTATCTTCCTCTATTTTCCGAAGCCTTTATATGTGATCCTATTATTTTTATAATAAAAAAGTATACAATTGTTTTGAAGCAAAAAAAGGAAGAAAAGGAAAAAGATCCAGAGGTCTTAGTCCACCACAAGCCTCAGGTGATCCCACAGTGTGAGGCAGCAGCTGAAAGAGGTAACTTGATCTCAGGCTGCACAAATGCTGCCTGCCACCCAGGTCAGACCACCTTGGATCACTTAGTTCAGAGGCATGATGACCAGAAGTATGACCAGAGGAGACAGCAGAGGATGAGAAGTCTAAGATGCTGAGGCTGTTCAGCTTTGGCGAGGCTGAGAGGCATCCAAAGGGCTGTTAAAATTGGATAGGGATGCAACAAATGTACCACACCAATGCAAGACGTGAGTAATAGAGGACACTGTGTGGGGAAAGAGGGGAACTCTCTGTACTTTCCTCAATTTTCTGTAAGCCTAAAACTGCTCTGAAAAATGTCTATTAAAAAAAAAAAAAAAGGACGGGGTAGACTACTGGATATAGCTTCTGGGGCAAAACAAAGGTCAGTGGGTAAAAATCCATGGAGGCAGACTTTGATGGAATGCCAAGAATGCCTCTAGCAATCAGAGTGGCCTCAAGAGGTGGTGAGCTCCCCATCACAGGAGATATGCGAAAAAAAGTAAACACCTGCCATAGAGAGAGGCCCTTAGTGAGTGGCAAGTAAGCCTATACAACTGGGAAAATCCAGACCGCTCAGCTGCCCTGACTGACCCAGCCCATGTGTAGTAAATACTCAGGGCATGTTTGTTGACCAGAATTGGGCTGAGGCATGGTCTCTAACCATGAAAGGTGAAAGCAACCTAGACAGGCTTTCTGGAGGAGGTAAGGGCCCCTTCACCCCGACACCTTCCCCTTCGGGTTCCCCCAAAGGGCGACTTCCCCGCTCTCCACAAATAGTACCACGTTGAGCTGGAGCTCCAGGCTGAGGACGCCTCCGCTGTCCAGCACTGGTAGCAGCCTCAGGGCAAACACAGCTGGGCGTTCAGGGGGGAGGGCCACGCTGGGGCCAAAGAAGACGTAGAAGTGGACGGAGAAGGTGTCCAGCTCATTGCGCAGCGTCGGGCGCACTGGCCAGCAGTGCTCAGGTGGGGATGTGGCCCCGGGCCCCTCAGCAGGGGCCCCGAGGGATGACAGCTCTGGGGGCAGTGGCTGGTTGCCCAGTGACTGGGGCATGTTCATGGCAGCTCCGGGGACCAGGGCACGGGACAGGCTGGGCTGTGGGCACTCTGTGGGGCAGAGGAAATCAGAGCTGGGGCCTGCCGCCCTCACAGCCCTGCAGCCCCACCACATAACAAAGGGTGGGGAGGCTAAGAACTGGAATCGAACGTCCCTTTGGCGTCTGGCATCTAAGGCCACAGGACAGGGTCCAGGGGCTCCCTAGTGGTCACAGCTAATGGAATGTCATGTTGGAGGGACTCAAGGTCATCTCTCCCACCCCACGGGCAGTGAGGACACTGCTGAAACAGGTGATGGACCCTCTCACTGACTTGCAAGGGCTTTGGCAAGGACCATGTCCCAGAAGTCCTAGCTGTCCCCTGCCTACTCCAGGACACTGAGATTAAATCAAGGAGAGTAATGAGGTCCCTTAGTGAGCCCCAAGTCAGGTACCAAGAAAAGATCTGATGGTCTTCCAATGACTTGAAGCTCCAAGTGGGAGGGCTTTGGCGAGTAAAGGAGCCTGGGCTGGGCCGGGGAGGTCGTAGGCACGTGGCCGAGGACCAGTGAACACAGCCACTGTGCCTGCCTCCTCCCAGCCACAGAAGTCGGCACAAGCTGGGTGGCTGGCGCAGGTGTGGGGCTTCTGACCTTGCAACCGCACACACAGCTGGAAGCAGACGGTCCTGTCAGGGCCCCGGGATGGTGTCTCCACACGCACGTAGACCCAGTGCCCCCACGGGGGCAGTGCCAGCTCCAGCTGGCATACCGAGGCACCTCCACAGGCCACAGAGCTTGAGTTGTGCAGGGGTGGGGCCTTGGGACGTAGGCGCAGCGTCAGGGGGCAGGCGGATGCCCCGCGGCCCCCCACGCACACCAGCTGCGCTGAAACCCTGTAAGTGAAGCTGGGCACAAAGACCCTGGGCAGAGGGGAGGTTGGAGGTGAGAAAAGACGGGGTACAGAGAAGTGAGAGGGACACAGGATGAGGGAGACACTGGGAAGAAGGGAGGAGTAGGGGACAGAAAAACCGGAGGCCTTTTCGGGTCTTCCCCTCTGTGCTGGGAGAGGGGGAGGCAGGGGGTGGGAGTCACCCTGGGGCTCTGGGTAGCTCAGCAGTCCAGGCTGGCCAGAGGGAAAGGAAGATCAGCAGGTAGGCTAAGGCCGGGGAAGGAACATGGGAAGGGCCCGGTGTGGGGCAGTATTTGACTTACTTGTACAGGGCTGAGCGATTGTGGAGGGAGAGGGTCTGCTCAGAGGGTCGCCCAGGCACCAGCACAGCCACGTCCAACAAACGCCGGACGATCAGCTGCGGCTGAAGGAGGTACTGACACTCATCCTGGAGACCCTGGGACACAAGCAGGGGTGGCGGGAGGGGAGACAGCGAGGTGCTACTAAATGGCGGCGAACAGCCTGCTGAAGCGGAGGACAAACCTCCTCTGGCCCTCCTGCTTCTGGGGCTGTGACCGCAGTCCTCTAAGCTCTGGGTCCCTCCTAGGTCTGCAGGATCTGCTGGGATCCTCAGCATTGGCTGAGGTTTAGGGACTCAAAACTGGGCCCTTCCTGACAGTCAGGCCTTCCCTTCCCCACCTCCAGTAACCCCAACTCCTGAGCATTCCTGGACAGCCCCTCAAGGTATTTCAAACCACCTCATTCCCCCCCCAAGCCCTCAGGAACGTAGAACACTAGCACTCCAAGGGCACTAGAAAGCCCCTTAAAGGCTTCCAGTCCAAACCTCCCCGCTTCCCCCAACCGAATCTTTAATTTCCTTTATTCTCCACCTGCCCCTCCCAAGTGCTTGTCCAGCCTCTGCTTTAATACCCCCAGGGAAGAGCCACTCTGCCTCCCAAGGGACCTCCAGACTACAGGTAACTTGAGAAAAGGAACCTGGTCTTATTTTGTTCCCCCAGACACAGAGCCTAAAGTAAAGTGCACCCCTCACAGATGAATGTTTGCTGAATAAATGAATGAATAAGTGAATCAACCCAGCTGGGGGCAGCTCTGACCTGTACAAAGCCAAAGCCTATCTTCTGTCCCCCAACCACCGCTCTGCCTCAGGGGCCCACAGATACATCTGCTCCTTTTGCCTCAGTCTGGGTTTCCTCTGCCACTGGAGGAGAACCGCCACATCTCCCCGAGCTACTCTTCTGGATAAAATCCCTAACACTTCTCTACTTGGGAGGACACCACTCTGGCCCTGCAGCATCTCCAGTGAGGATGGGCCCATTAATTCCGGCTCCTCTTCTGTGGCATTTGCAGCTCTCTGGGCCCTCGATCCTAGCAGTTCAGGGGAGGGGGGCTCCTGATTAGGCTTCTCTCATCTTCTGGACAAACGGTCTTATGCTGGCCCAATAAACTAGAGGCCACTGTTCACTTATGTGGTTGTTCTGACCGAGACATACCATTAGCCTTGACCTGGGACAAGAATTCCAGGCTTTGACATCCCACTGAGTTCCATGCCACGGAAAAAGCCAGCCAAGGCTTGTTTGCTGACTTTTGTTTTGTTTTGTTTTGTCTGTTTGTTTGTTTGCTGACTTCTAGCAAAGCTCCACAAGGTTGGAAGGGGGCCTTGATGGATGCCAGGCTGGAATATCTCCTTACCCTCTGCCTGGAATTTTCCTGTACCTTTTGCATCACTGCACCCCCAATACCTAGCACACCACCTGGCACACACTAGGTGCTAGAAAATATCTGTTGAGTTAAAGAACAGGTGTCAAAAAGAGGTCCCTTCAGAGAGCTCCTGAACCCACCTCGTTGCACAGAGACCTCCATCTCTGATTTCCAAAGCAGATGTCCCTCATCTTTTGTGTCAAGCCCTAAGGACCAGAAATACTCTCACAAGTTATTTCATCAACCCCACCTCCTAACGTAGGAATCACCACCACAATAATCTTGTGGTGAATAAGCCCTAAGGGTGGGGACTCACACTCGGGAGACAGCCCCCGTCCTTACTATACAGTCCAGAGGGAAGAAACACTTTCTTCCACATTTTGCTTGCTGTTGCCCTAACTAAAAGATCAGTGGACATGACCTCTCTATTTAAGATGTGCTCCTTCCTTAAACTGTATAATGTGCATGTCTAACACCTTCCTATTGTGCACGGGAGCATTCAGTCAGTGGAGACCAGGGAAGGTGCAGCAGGGACCTTCATCCCGTAATGGAACCACAGGAAGGGCAGCAGAAGTCAGGTCCTCAAGAGCTGCCAAGGCGGAAGCCAAGTGAGAAAATCCAAACTCAGTCAACGTCCGCGCTCTTGGAAGCAACAGAACCAAAGCAAGGGACCAGGGGACCAGGAGGGCCAAAAGTGAGAAGTGGAGTGAGAAGCGGTCTGAAAGAAGCTGGAGTGGAAGGCCTTAGATTGATTCCTAGACTGTCCCAGTATAGGTGGGCTGAGTTTCTTTAGTAAGGCCTGAGCCTCTGGGTGAGGCCTGTAGACTGAAGATGCCCAAAGATCTTGGCCTTCTCTGTGGGAATACTCCAGCACTCGGCACAGCTCCGGCCCACAGTTAGCTAGCACCAATCAACATGGAAGTAGGTGAGCACTGGAGAGATGGCAGGGGACAAGAGTGGAAGCAGGGAGACCACTTAGGAGATTACTGTTTTGGCCCAGCAGACGACCAAGGGAAGGTGTGCTAAGAGTGGAAACAGACGTAGATGCATCCAGGGCATCCTTTAGAAGTAGAGTCAACAATACTTTTTCTTTATGGATTAGTTGTGGGGAAATAAGGGAAAAAGAAGAATCAAGTATGACACCTAAATTTGGGGCTTGAGCAACTGGTGAATGGCAGTGCCATTTACTGAGAAGAAGATTAGAGAACAAAGAGGCTTAGACTGGGAGAAGTGAAATAGGAATTAAAGAGATTTCGACTTGAGGCTTTGTTTGGATATGTACTTGCTAAGTTTGAGACTGGTCTTAGACATCCAATCAGAGATGTCAAGGAAGCCACTGGATATAAAGTCTGAGATTCAAAGAAATTTGAACTCACTTAATACACCTGGAAGACATGAACTTATAGGTGGTATTTAAAACTGTTGTGCTGGAGACACCTAGCAAGAGAATGAAGAAATAAAAAGGAGTTGTCCCAGGACCAAGCTTTGGGGTACCACACGTGAAGAGATCAAGCAGAGGAGAAGCCAGGAAAGGAGACAGAGGAGTGGGCGGTGGGCAGGAGGAAAACTGGACAGTTCTGTAAAGTCACAAAGGACAAGTGGAGAAAATGTTTCAAGGAGGAAAGAGTAATATAAGGAACTAGGTAACAGCTAGTTACTAGTCAGCTCTGGAGAGGAAACGTGGGGACTGAAAGGGGACAAAGGGAAGAGGAAGACTTACTTTTCACTGTATGCCTTTTGTACCTTTCGAATGTTGTACCGGGTGCATATATTACCTATTTGAAATACAAATAAAATAATTTAGAAGGAGGAAGAAGAACAGAAGGAAGACTGTTAGCAGATCTGAACCACTTCAGTTGAGATACTGAGCCACACTTGGTCCTAGCGGGTGGATTCAACTGAATCCTTTCTTCTGTACAATCTGCTCCTTTTCTTTCCTTATTGTTGTTTTCATTCTTTTATCTGCTTTCACTTACTTTCAAATCTTGGAGCTGGGGAGAGGAAGCTGGGGAGTTCAAGGAGAACTGTGCCCCAGATATTTGGAGAACTTCCCCTAATAAGCCATTTGGGTGCCAGATGTTACCCACAAGCCAAAGGGCAGCCCTTCAGGGCAGACTGGCAGCTGGACACCACAGGAGGAACACATGCGCCACACAGGAAAGGTAAGGAGATAGAGGGCACAGGTCAAGACAGAAGTGGCTGACAGAAAGAAGGAGAAAAGGAAAGGAGGAAAAATGAGATCAGCTTTGGAAACACGAGTTTGAGAAGATGGCACAAGGGCAACAAAAATTTGCCCAGCCCCCACCACGTGCCAGGCTCTGTGCTGGGCGCTAGGAATACAGTAGTGAATAATACAGAGGCCAGCAGAAGTGTGGGACCACAGCCCAGGAGAGTGGCCTGGACCAGATTAGTCACTTCCCTTTTACAACCTCTTAAGGCTCCCTATCACTCTCGGGATAAAGTTCAAACTTCTAGGCCCTTCCTGATCTGGCCTCTGTTCACCCCTCCAGCTCCCTCACTCACCCCAACGCCTGCCCCACACTGAACCACTTCAGTTCTCCCTTCTAAGCTTTAGCCCATGCTACTCCCACCACCTAGAATGCCCTTCCCTGCTTCCTCAACAGCAGGTCTCACTTCCTAACAGTTTCCTAAAACCAACTCCCCACCACACTACCAAGCTGAGTTATCCACCTCTCCTTTGTCCTCTTAAAACCTCCTGTATCTCACTAGTATACATCTTATTTATCTGTGTCCCTAGCACCCAACCCAAGGCCTGGGACAAAGCAGGTGCTCAAAGACTAAGGTCTAAAGGGAGGCCTGAACTCGTCCCCAAAGCTGAGGAACAGTGCTGCCTTCTTACGCTGGGACCATTCAGTCCCCACCCAAGGATATCCCTGAACCCACAATAACTTCCTGTGTTGGCCAAGCCTTATGGGAAGTCAGGACGATGGGACGAGGACGAAGCAAGCAGAGAAGACGGAGCCCTAGAGGAATGCTCTGGACAACCCAGCCATAGGCTTGATTCTAGGGAATTAACCAGAGAACTTAAGAAGCCCTACAGGCCCATGTAAGATTCCAGAAGATAACCAAATTCTTAGAGGAAACACAAAGAAGATCTTACCCCCCAACCTCTAGAACAGGCCTGACTGGAGAGCTCTGTCTCTCGTGGGGTCCACACACAGCTGCCAGTCACAGGGTAACTGCACCCTCTTCTCTCTAATCTCACCACACCCCAGGGATCTCTACGGGGTAGGGCTCCAGCTTGAAGTGCCAAGTTCCCCAGGCCCCACTCGCTATATCTAGATGCAAACGGGCACGTCAAGCCTGGTTCTGACCTCTCCTAACCAGGCTTCAGCTCCCATAATCCCAGCCCAGGCCTAGGCGCCAGATTCCTCCTGCTCAGTCAGAAAGGTTGTTGGATACTACAGCAGGGCTTCAGAAAGATTTTCTCTTCTCACAAAGAGAGTCAAGAATCAGAGCTGGGACCAGGAACAGGCTCTTTGGGATTTGGCCAAAGACCTAAGAAGACATTCCTCCTAATAGAAGAACACTTGGTTCGGATGGGAGTCAAGAACCTAGAACCCAGAGCCACTTCCGGGCAAGTTCGCAACATGCTCTCACCCAGAGGGCTCCCAGGCCTGCAGAGGAGATTCTCCCGTACATCACTCTCAGGAAAAACTGGCCTATCACTGAGGCCTCGAGATGCTCCCTCAGCCTGAGTTCCCATCTCTGACAACAGCAGTGCCCATACACTTGTCCCTGTGTAATTCTCAGCTCATTCAAAAGCATTATAACACCTCTGAACGCTGGGCCTCAGCAGAAGGAGGAGAGGGGAGTCTGACACAGTCCGGGGCCCCTGCCCTCAAGGAACTCACCCTGGAGAGAGATGGCCAGGTCAAATCCTCACCTGACTGGCCTCTCAAATCCTCACCTGACTGCCTCTCCCAATTCTCAGTGGCCAAACCCTACTCACTTTCTTGTTCTTCATGTCCTGTTCTTTAAATCCTGCTCAGCTCACGCTTGGCCCTTTGCCGTTACCACTGACCCCACACCCGTGGCCATCCCACTCTGACATGGCCACCACATCCCACCCCCCTTCCCACCAGTGGACAGGAGCAAGAAACCTTCAGGTCCTCTCACAGTAATGAAGAGGTCTAGCCTGCCCAGTGCCTGGGAGTGGCAGGAAAACTCTGCAGCATTTCCTTCCCCTCCAAACCAGAATGGAGAAGCAGCCTGACCTCAACCCTACAACACTGGAGACTTTAACAAACTCTGCTCTATGAAATCACTGCCGATGTTTGGGGGAAAGAGCGTCAACAATCAGGTTGGACGCCAGGCGCCCAAAGCCGCTTCTTAACAGGAAGGGGCTTCCCTGCCCCCGAGTATTCTCTTAACATCTTCCATAAGGTGTCAGGAGCTAAAATTATGATAGAAGAGGAACGTATACTCCCAAATGGACTAACGACTGGGCTAAAGCCTACAAGAGTCTGCGGGGCTATCACCAACCAAGACGTAGAACAAGACTAGTCTTGACCCACCAGGTGACCGGCTGACCTCTAGCTATGCCCCACGCCAGCCACCCTTATGCTGTTGCCCACTCTGGCACAAGGCTGGTGTGCCAGGTAGCCCAGAGATGGAGAAGCAGCTCTGGCCCCTCCTACCCTGGACAGTATCAACCCACCTTGACAGAGATGTGGCCGTGGGTCCGGGGCAGGTGGGCAGCCAAGAACCAGTCCCCAGGTAAGGGGCTGCTGACGTTAAAGATGCCAGAGGTGCGGTTGGGCAGTGTCCAGCTGAGAGTCAGTGAGAAAACCCCAGGCACAGCCGTATCCCCTGGGAAGTGTGTGTGCAGGGGATTGATGACAGGGGGTGCCCCAGAACGGAAATACCTGGGGGACCAGAATGAAGAGAAGAGGAAAGCAGGCAATGGGGTGGGACATGGAAAACGGGGGAAAGAAAGGAGAACTGTCATTTATCACCAGTAAAACAAGTGGATTCCCTATACCGACCCACACAACAAAGTGGTTCCAGGTCAGGGGTCAGAACATAAGGGGCAAAAGATCAGCTCGGGCGCTCAAACAGTCATACAGTAGCCAGGAATGGTCAGGAGACAGAGGTCTTGGCCCTCAGCCAGTCACACTTCAATCCGGACAAGGGTCAGGGGTCAGGGTCAGGAGGTCAGCTGATCTCCTGAACTCGCATTTTCATTTGGAAAGTGGCCTGGGGTTGGAAGCAGGGGTCAGGAGGTTAACTCAGACGCTCACACAGTCACACTTTGGTCTGGGCAGTGGTCCCCAAAGGTTCCCCCCTGCTCTTTGAAGATGATGAGGTTCCACACGGCCAGGAATGTGTCTTCGGGAACATGGAAGTGGAAGAGCTCGGTGCTGGCGAAGGAGCGGAAGGGACTCAGCTTGCGGGGTGAGCAGGTGGAGTAGTCAGTCAGGAAGAGGCCTCCTGGGGAGCAGGCGGAAGAGAAAGGAGCAAAGTAGGACAGGCCATTCCCAGCAAGCCCCAGGCACACCAAGCTGCCTCACCCACAGCACCGACTCAGCAAAGGTTCTCCTCTGCCCGGGAACTGGGTCTCATGCTGCCCTTGCCATCATTTGCTTTCAACCTTACAGTGATCTTGGGAAAAATGACCTCTCTTTACAGATAAGGAAACTGAGGCTTAACGCTAGACCAAACTGAGGATTCAAACCTTGATCTGTCTAAATGCAAAACCAGAACCCTCTTGAGGACCCCACAGCTGCCCCTCACTTAGGAGCCATTGTTCTCCTCGTACCAAGCCTAACAAAACAGCTGTGGATGGTGCACACGCGTGCGTGCGTGTACGCGCGTTTGTGTGCGCGTGTGTGTGCGTGTGTGTGTGTGTGTGTGTGTGTGTGTGTGTGTGTGTGTGTGTGTG